TCGGATAGAGAATTAAATACGAACACTCAAAGAGAAATTCTGTATTTGCATCTTAGACTCGCAATTCTAATTTCGCTCTACATGGTTCTATATGGCCTATATGGTTCTATATGATTCTATATGGTTCTATATGCCATATTCTATATGGCATATTCTATGTGGTATCCTATGTCAATCAAGAAAAAAGAGGGAACATTTTACCCCTTTCATAGTAAGAAAAATTAATTTTTTCCTGCGATATATTCATGGATATTTTCTGTGCGGAGAGAAGTGTAGCGTGCGAAATACCATTTGTACGTCGTTTTTATAATGAATAAAAATAAAAGTTACACTGTTTGGTTGTATCCGCCTGTCACTTTTAAACATGGCACGCCTGCTGCAAGTGGATAATATCGGTGGGCGTAATAATACTTCATCGTTCGCGAATATTCCCTCGTCCACGTGAATTATCGATTTCCTCTTCATGCCAGAGAAGAAAACTCGCAATCTAGTCGGCTGCGGAAGAAGTACTGTTTCGAAAGACATGGAATTTAGTTGGGATTGTCATTATGGCGTCACGAAGAGACTCGCATCACTCGTCGGCCAGTGGCCTTATCAGAACAAGAGAGAGAGGATATTGAGGATGGGTGTGACGATAACGGCTGCGCTTATCTTGAACATCCCACAGGTTAGAGCCTTTCTGAATGATTCCGTTACACTCGTTTCTACATTCGACATTTAACTAACTACGTTATCGACATTATTCGAGTTCAACATCCCCTTAACCTTTCGTCTCCTAAGCGCGGCGAGTCGTTTGCCTCATAAGTGATTTTTTTTAGAATAATTCTATCAGAAAATTTGAATAATTTTGGTGAATTTTTCTAATTAGACTTTATGTTATAAGCTTTTGTATTTGAGACAAATTAATGCATACTATCTACAATTTTCAAGAAAATATAATTTATTTAGTTGGGATAAGTCACTTCTTGGCAACTTATGTTTGAAAAATTAACATGGTTTACAGACATGCAAATTTATTCATTGCGACAAAGACTTAGACTGCATTTTTGGAACTGTGCCGGGTTACTTATTTGTAATCGTGATTCTGTTAAAGATAAACACATGCATCTTGAAGAGTAACAGAGTACGTGATTACATCGCTTGAAATAACGTCGAACTATGTTTGCACGTTCGTGTCAAATATATAACGAAATTTAATGTTTGTCGACTGTGTTACATTTAGATTAAGACTTTTACCGATCGCGTGTTTCCCGATTGGGAGAGATTGCAGAGTTCGCAAGAATACGAAATCATGAAAACTTACGTTGCGAATGCAAAATGGAATATCTGTATGTATTTCGGTAAGAACACGAACGGATAAGTCTTTGATCTTCTTCGCTTCCACAATCGACTATCAGTGATTATTTGTTGCAGCCATTGCTGTAATGGGAACCTCTACATTCGTGTTTGTGTCTCTCATACCGCACATACTAGACGTCGTATTACCACTTAACGAATCCCGCCCTATAATACTACCTTACGAAGCTTATTACTTCGTTGACGAAAGGAAATATTTCGTTTATATTTTCTTGCAAGGTGGCATAGCCCTTCATATAATTCTAATGGCACTTGTCGCTTACGACACCATGTTTATGACTTTCGTCGAACATATTTGTAGTATCTTCGCCGTGGCCGGGTAAGAATAACATGCGTGTGTATTTATCATTTAGGTCCGATTCCAACGTCGACCGGATCTTGATCTGAGTTTGAGTCTTTATTTCAAATAGTTTAAACGCGGTTTGAGGTTTGACCGACGTTGGTGGGATCAGGCCTTAATATAATGAATTGATCTTACGACGTCGCGTTATAACATACAGATTCCGTTGCGAGCATTTGGTAAATAAGGATGTCGATATAGTTAAAATTGTTAATAACGACCTGGGGGACATGCACAATAAAAGAATGGCGCGCTGCGTGAAGGTGCATTGGGCGGCTCTAGAGTAAATATGTATCATTATATATTATACATTGTATCATAGTCCTGCCGCTACACAAACATCATTATCGTAATGCGTTCTTGCTTCAGATTCGCGGAACATCTTGAAGATACCTTTTCATTAGATTTCGGTATAGAGTTAGTGTTAGCGACAATAGCAATGAGTATTACATTATATCAAGTACGTACTTAATTTTTAAAGAATATATATATATATATATATTCCTAAAAAAAATGTATATAAATATATATATATATATATATATATATATATATAT